CTACGCGTTTACATCGAGTTTTGGTTTCGTATACAGGGTGTAACACGGAGATTTAAACCTGATGTAACTATTGTTCCGTCCAATATTTTTAAGGTTTTTTTTTTTTCTCGTAACCGTCGCGAGAGCCCTGCGCGATAATTCCTCTACTTTATATTTATTTATTGTCGACTAAAAATAAAAAAAAATTCAAATATTTTAAACACTAGTTTTTACAAAATCCAAGATGGCCATTTTATACGTATTGAATAAATCAATTGTAGAAATTTAACGTTTCATCGTTAGTAAATACTTTAAACACCAAAATCGTGTGTCGAAACATATGTATAACGGTTTTTAAAAATTTAAATTGTTTTTGTTTAGTTTAAAAAAAAACATAAATTAGATGAATTAAAAATAGCTAAAAATGATTACAAGAAAAAAAAAAACCTTAAAAATATTAAACCGAACAAAAGTTATTTCAGGTGTCAGATCTTCGTGTCACACCCTGTTTAATGATATTCTTCGCAACTGTATCTGAGAATGGGGAAACATGACGTGAAACGGTGTACCGCTATTTATAATTTATATAGCCCGTAGTTCACTGTTTCACGCCATATTCACCTATTTTCACTCTTTTCTATGTACCCCGGATATCATGCGTATTATTTAAGGTCAGTGTTTTGCATATCTAACCACCAGCGTCATTTAGGTATTCTTCTTTGGATTTTTCTCATCGTTCCCAGTAAAAAAAAAATCTCACTACATTTCCGTGCATGACCTGCCCGTTTCAATATTTTACTCCTTACAAACACTTTTACACATTTGACTTTTGACATATTGCTGGCCGTATACTTTCTCGTCTGTTCTAGTTTGGTATTATCTCTGTTTTCTACAACAGGACCATAAATACGTCGGAGTATAATTCTCGTTCAGAGATCATCGACTTCTATCCCCATCGAATTTTGTCACCAACCGTTTGCTTCGCACCTGTTCGACTGATGGTCGTAGGTGCAGGCTCGTGTATATAGACCTGTTGTCTAAGACTTTCTAGATATAGGTGTTTGGATTAAAACAGTTTCTCCGGTGAAAATAAAAATACCTTTTATTGGCATTTTCGATTGTCAGTTACATTTTACTGTCATACTATTGTGTTTACGTAGGTATAATAATATTACGTATGAATGATTATTGTTCTCGAATCTTACCGCGTCAGTTAGATCGAACAACAAAAATCTCTGTATTATCTTACCGCGAGACGATATTCGATAAACTGACGTTTACGTTTATAAATCCTCGTAAAAAAAAAAAAAACGATGAGTCGCGTCGAAACGAATAACAATAATAATAATAACAATAAAATATTATGCGACAGTTAATAAAGGATATTGCGCGATTTTAAATCAACGCGGTCGCGGCAATAATCCCACGCGAATAAAGGGCTTTCGTATAGCGGTAATTTATTGAAAACATCGACACCGTATAACCGCCAGAGCGATTGTGTTCGATGGAATATCGCGAAAAAAATGCACAGCTGCGCGAAAACGACGACAATACTATCAACAACGAAACCGTTTTACCGTATAAAAACATATGACAATGGCCGTCTGGGCTGCGTGCAGACGGACGGATCGAATGAGAATGCGCAGTAGGAACGAAAGTCGCACAAACCGCAGCGGCGTTAATGTGATGATCAACGTTGACTTCTTATCGTTCGCCGATTTTAGTGAATTTTTTTTTTTTTTTGAAAAAATTAGTCCGTGGCGACGATTGTCGGTCCATACGCGCAATCAATAATCGCACTGTTTCCAAATCCGACTACGGGTATGCGGAACTATCGGAATTTCATGTTATCGCAATGTTCTCACGTAAACATGCAACGTAGAGAAACATCTATAAAAAAAGTTGTATCATCATACAATCATTTGAAATTGCTCGTGCGCTTAAAATTAATAATTCTCGGTAAAAAGAAAAAACTCGTTAGATCGCTTAAAAATATCAGGTCAAAAGTATTCGAAACGGATAATATATGATCTTTCTTCGGGCACATCGAGTGAGACCAATTGTCTGACTGATCAATGGTAGCGATGCGATAATTCTGAAAACGGATTTGAATTCAACGTGAAGTGTACACAAGACCGGTCAGGTTACTTTTAACAATTTAATTTTAAATGGTTTTTTTTTTTTGTTTTATATATATACATTTTCAAATCAATATTGTTATTGTGTAACGAATGATCGAAATCCAGAAAATGTGTTCTGATCGATTTCGCATAAGTGTAGGTACCCAATGGAGAATTGTCGAGACTATTTTGCCGTACATGTTGAAGACTCGTTACTAACGCCGCTCAGAATCGTTTCTCGTTAGCAAAGATTAATCGTCGCGCACGGATATGCGTCGCATCGCCCGCTACGCATGTCGCCTACCCGACTTCTCGTCAATTGACAATGGCCCGTCCGTCGTGCGGAATATTATGTCCGCGTCTTTTCGCGTGCGGTTTTCGCAGTCTGGACATACTTGTGTACCGGTGGCGGCTCGAAATACGCGTACGTCGAATCACCGACACAACGTTTCGCCCGGCCCCGATCCAAAACGACCTCGCGCCGCGCGCGTACCGGGACTCGGTAAACCACAACGGAATCCGTCTCGTGCATCAAACGTCCCCCCGCGGTGTATCGACGACTTTTGAAAACGCGTGACGGTCTCCGTCCGCTGTACGCCAATTAGCGTACAGCGGACGAGGCGCCCGGCGCTCCGCGTTGACGGAACGCTCGCGCGCTTCCGGCCGCCCACGGCCGCTCCGAGCGGCGCGACGCCCGTCGATCCGGGGCCGCGTTTGCCGTCTCCGCGCGCGCGGCGCTCGGTTTATCGCGTCGACGGAAAATCCGCGTTGACGGAACGCGAATCCCGCGCCGGTCGCCGCCGCGATTATTACTGTCGTTGTCACTGTTTCGCGCTGTACGCTGTCGCTTGTCGTCTCGCGTTATTGCGACCGTCGTACCGTAGCCCGGAATGTTGTCGTCGCGCCGCGGCGGAGGCGCGCGAATCGTTGTACGCGTAGAGAGGCGATATCGGCGGTATACCGCGGCGGGCGAACGCCGCCGAGACCCGGCAGATAAGCTAATTGCCGGGCGCCAACAGCGATAATTCGGCTGGAAGCAAATTATTATTACGCTATACCGCCGCCGCCGCCGCCGCCGATACGATATTATATACTCGGTCGCGGATTTCGCTCTACGCGGAGAGGAGAGGGGGGAGGGGTAAGAAGGGGGGGGAATGGGAGGGAGAGGGGCGGATCGGCGGAAGGGACGCGGGTCGGGGCCGGCCGGGGAGGCGAAATAAGCGTTGCCTTTAATAATGATTATTGTTCGTATTCGCCGTCCCGCGCGCGAACGTGTATAATAATAATAGTAATAATAATAATAATATGATGGCGGCGGCGGCGGCGGGAACTCGTGTGCCAAAAGTCGAGAGAGTGGAACGTTTCGATAAGAGAGCGAAAAGCTTTTGGCCGACAGTTCGCGACGGCGGCGGCGGCGGCGGCGGCGGCGTCGTTCGCCGACCGGCACAATTAAAACAGCCGCCGCCTCCGCCGAGTATTTAATGCGAAACTTTTTTTTCACCGATGAATAATGCGTTTGAAAACGTAATGGCACGAGCACCGTGTACAGATGTTCGATATTTTAAGCCGTCGCGATTTCCCCAGCCGGTTTTTCCGTAGCGCCGCCGCCGTCGGAAAACTATTGCCGCGCGCGCATAAACTCGTTTGCTGCGCAGCGATCGACGGTCACGCACGACGTCAAGACGGTGCGGTTATCTGGGAGCGTATTGATTTGATTTTTTTTTTTTATTCTTTTATTCTCGTCACCTATTTTTCAAACGGCCAACCGTATTTGAAATTGCACACATAATATTTGAAGGGCCGGTTCGAATACATTCCGGTGTTGACGTTTTTAATTGCCTTCGACTCGTTGACGAGATGTTTCACTTTTAATATTAGCGGAGCATTGTTAAAACGCCATACCGCCACGCAGCCACAAAAACGATGCTCCGTCGTTACCTCGGTTACTTACACGGATTAATTGTGGCTTTACTTTACGCGAAACGTCAACACGTTTTATGTATCGCTAAAACTAGCGCACATCGCTGTCCTTTTCCCGAACAATCTGTTTTTTTTAAAACAATCACCGAATTAACGCGGGGGCTGACGAATTACGGTAAAAAATTAAATATAGCGTTTCGCGTAGGTGTTGATTAGTGCGATGCTGTACAATTTCTATAGACTACACTGGTGCGTGAAATATATTTCGTACAGAGAACTGTAGTTATAGATTTTGAAAATAATATCAACACAATATAAGTTGCGTATAACGTGTGTAATTCTGTCTGATACAACGCGCGCGATGCTGTGGGTAATTTGTTTTGTTAAAACGTTTATCCCCCTGGGCAGTGGGTCTATTGGAGTTTCTATAGGAAACGCCGTACGATATAACGGGAAACACGACAAATCGTGTACAATGTATTGCGAACGACGTACAAATTATATTAATATTACGATTTAGTTAGCAAATCACAAATAAATGCCATGCAATTGTAATTGTTACGGCCGTGTAATGTTCACGGCGATTCCGTCCAGTCACAAGCGGCGGACACTCGGACGAACAGCGCTAATGGATCCCAGTCCGTCTGTTGGTTCGCGTGTCCACCGCCCTCGCGACCGAGCGCGTATACCACGAGCTTTGACCTGTGATGATAACCGTTAACCACGGTAATCACAACGCGAGAAACTTAAAAATGGAATGTATCGCCATTGGATTGACGGAAATCAAACGTTTCAACGTCCAAATATACACAAACTCTATGAAATTTATTTGAAACATTATCTATTTGCGGGATTTTTAATACGGATTGCTGTTGTCAGAAAAAAAAAAAATATAAAAGCAATCTATACAAATAAGAGTTGCTTGTTTCTTAAATTATCAAAAAAACAAATACCAAATTAAAGTTAACACTTTCCGAGATAATGAGTCTCTTAGGTCATGTTGATCACCCTGCATTTAATATTATCAAATACAAACTGCGGCCAGTGTCTGTGTGGAGTTGCGACCGCGGTATTCAAGATGTTGCTGCGAAAGAATACCGTAAAAGAAAGTTTCGCGGTAAACTGTTCATGCGTTAATTATCGGTCATTTTGCTACGCGAGATTCACAGACGATACGCTGATGAGAGCCACAACATTTTCTGCCGTGTAAAATATTACACAGATATCCGGCTGGAATTGCTCAAATTAGGTTATGAAAAAAAAAAAAAAAACCTTGAGCAATAGTGTTCTGTGAAGCGGACATTTTCTCCCCTCCGAGTCTATTTCGCGTTACAGAAACATTGTTTATAAAACATTTATCAATCGAATACTGGAGCACACTAATACTATACTATTCCAAAAAAGAAAATATTGAAATTTGAGCGTACAAACGGTATGAGTGGATGTTGAACGAAGAAACGCCGAAAAAAACGCCATTGTTTTTGATAGGCAATTGTGCCATACATATTCATAGAAATTATGGTCTGGCTTCATTTGCAGGCGAATCTGTAATAGAAATATTCGAAGCTAAAAAACATCACCCTCTCGCATAAACAAGGTGAAATTTTAATATTGAAATAAATTTGACGGTGCTAACAGGTTTTTTCAGATTTATTCATTACAAGTGTGGAATTTGTACAGTAAATGCAGTTCAAAGAAGAAAAAGCTAGAATCACGGATTGAGACGTATGGGGTAACCGTGAGATGTCGAGATTTCGTGACAGAGTAACAAACGAACAGTTTTCAAAAGAACTACAAGGAAAACGATAACTTTGGTAACTTTTTGGTACATGGCTTAGTATTATATGTATAATAATATGATAGGTCACAAACCGTGAGCATGGTAATTTGTTGATCTAAATTATATTGTTGTGGGTTGCGTAGAAAGTACAAGGATGAAATATTTTCGAGAAACGTTGAAGGCCATGGGAACGAAAAGTTGTCGAGAAGAGAATCGAAAGAGATTCGAGTTTCGTCATGAGAAGCCGACCAATCGAAATATTAAAGACCGCAAGAAGAAGGCGCGTAGACGAATATGCCAACAAGTTTGGTCGAATCAATCGCTCTAAGCGTGTTATCTGAGGGCTATCGCGGGTGGCCATCAAATTGAATTATAATGACAACAAAATATCTTGGCGCGTAGTTAGTTTTCGCAGTGGAACCCGAAAATCGCCAAAAAAAAAAAAAAATAGACAAACATTTTCCCCGGAAAAGACAGCGGCCGTTCAAAGTATTCGGACTGCGGGAATAAAGTTTAGGAACGTTATTATGTTATTTGAGAATTTTCGGAAAATCTCCGTCGCATTTCACGCAGAATCATCACGGAATCGCGTTTACCGATTGATTATAATATAATGTTCGTCATTATTTTTTGATGTTTGTTTTTCGTATTGTGATGGTGTTATTGGCAGCTTAATAAACCCACGTGCCCGAACTTATTGTTTCGTTACGAGTGTCGAGGAATAGTAGGGAGAGGCCGGCGTGTTTGAATTGTTTTTAATTTGTATTTTTTTCAATGAATCTTAAAAACCCTTTATAATATACACATTATATAGTATCGATCCTACGCGTATTATGTTAATAACGTAAAGAAATCGTAATAGATTGAGTTTGTTTTTGTTTTCTCCCGTGGTGTTTTTCTTTCTTCTTAAAAGTATAACGGATTTTAAAGAATAGAAAACAAAAAAAAAAAAAAAACAACGTTTAATTGTTTTAAACGCTCGGTTAAATCGCTTGTTACCAATTGTCTTTTTATCTAATCGTATTATTATTATTATCATTATTATTGTCTTTAGAAAGTATAATTATTTATCATATAATGCGGTTATTTTTTTTTTTTTTATCATTACTATTATTTTGTATTTTTATAGGTTATAGTTATTTTTTCACGTGTTATATACTTTCGTTTTATTATTTTAGATATTCCGGGTATACCCGCCCCATAATAGAACCGAGAAACTATAATATTTTTTACAGCGACAGTATATTGTGTACATTCCTGTTTATTCTCGGGAAACACTTTTGCGCCCGTCGGAAAACAGTACCTGTCTTACAGTGCCTATCCACGCCGTACGGCGTACGGACGGCGCGGTACAGACACCATACGCAGTGTGACACGGATACCGGAAACGCGAAATAACTTTCGGAAAAAACGTTCGGCGAACGGAAATTTTATTTGGCCGCGCGGTAATTCGTTTTCCACGTTCCACGCGACTAATTGGGAACGCGAACGTCGTTTCGTACTCGCGGCCGCCGGCCGCCGCGTTGCGCCCGCCTCGCGGTGACGCGCGCGGGCCGGGCCCGTAATGCGGTTTCGCGCGCGTCGCGTTACCGTAATAATGTCGGGCGCCGGCCGCGCGTTTCGCCGTCGTACGCGCGCGGTAACGCGGCGCCGCCGGTGTTGCGCGAACGGATCGCGCGAAAGAGCGAATCCCGTCGGGGACCCGCCGCCGGCGGCTACGGGGTTTTTAAAAGTTCGTGGACGCGGCCGCGGACGGCGCGCCGCGGCCGCCCGACCGCCCGCGGGACCGGAACGGGGACGGGTCGTGCGGTTTGATTCGAAACTTTACAACGGGGCTAATAACGAGCCGCGCGTAATGCGCGGCGGGCGCGCGCGCCGTGCAATACCGCGAAATTTCAGCCAAGTTTGTGATATTACGCGAGCACCACGAGCGCGTGTACCGCGCGCATAAGAAACCGGGGGTTTTTTCCGTAACCGCCACCGCCGCCGTAACCGCCGCCCGCCGCCCCGTCATCCGTTCGCCGGTCCGCGTTTCGTTTCGTTATTTTTACACGCGCCGCGGTTTCCACACACACACACAAGCGTATTACCGCATAGCGCAGGTACGCCGTACGAATATTTTAATGTACAGAGGTGTGTGTGTGTGTGTGTGTGTGTGTACGAACGAAATTTGATTAATACATTACTTATACACAGTACATAGGCGCACGTAAAACCGAGAAAACTTTCGCGCGGTATTTGCTTAAATACGAATTCCGAAAACAACCGCGTAACGGCAAAGTTATAAAGTTAGGTAAACGATCATTAAATCGTTGCATCGCTGCACCGAACATCGGCGGCGTATCGCGAGCGTACTCCCGCCGCTGCGCGCGTGCAGTTTAAATATTATTTCAACATCAATTATCAACGACATTACTGCGGGTTCGGCGAACGCGTTTCCGTTTTTTTTTTTTTTTTCTGTTTTCGACGTTGCCGCGGAATAATCCGCGTGCCGTCGCCGCGTTTGAGCAACGCGAGCGTAATACCGTAAACCCGGGACACGGGTCCGGTTTACGACTTGTTAAAAAGTTAACGCGGTAGCGCCGCCAAACATTTTTTTCAACACAAATCGCGCAATTTTTATGGCCGTTCGGTATTGGAGGCCGCTGCCGCCGTAAACATACAAAACGGACGTCGTCTGCTGCCGCGGTGTAAAATATTGACGTGTCTCTGTTGCCCGTGTACGGCACGGAAATACCGAACCGCGGAGAAAACACCTCAGCGCGATACGTCGGCCGTGTGACTTTGCGCCACGACGCGGACGTAATAATACGCGCCCGACGCTATGCGGTTGCGGGCAATGAAAACGGACGCTTTCGGGTTGCCGCACGTTCAAAAGACGAAAAACGTACGTACACCGGAACCGTCGAAATAATTTTGAAAAACTGACCCGCGTCCTTCTTTTCCGGGATCGAACGTACACGTTATTAAAGTTCACGTTGACTGACGTAACGTTAGCTGGCTGTAGTAGGCGAAATGTAATTTTTTTTTTCCCGGGCGCCGCATCCATCAGCCGTTATTTCACACGCATCTGCGAGTACAATATCGCGCGCGCACGTCCGTCACTGTGTCGTTATTATAAGCGCGCGCGCGCGCGCGCTCGGGTTTTTTTTTTCTTTTTTTTGTTATTGTTCGGTTTTTTATCATTGGTTTGTGTAAAACTTAAGGGTTTTTTGATCGAACGCGTTACGCGGCAGCCGCCGCCGCCGCCGGTTGTTTCTGACAGACGCTTACTATATATATATATATATATATACTCGCACACACCCCTCTCACCCTCCCCACTTGTTTCTGCGCAGCACTTTCCCCTCGCCCCTCAGCCGAGTCTTTTTTTGAATGATTGATAACAAACGATCGTACAACACGCGTAATAGTATTACACAAAACCCTTTTTGAAAACACGGAATACTGCACTGCAGCAGCGCCTTGCGGGTGGAGCAGAGCGAGAGGAGAGAGAGTGAGAGAGAGAGGATCGTCGACTGTGCGGGAGTGAGCGGCGGTCGGAGGTGGGTTATATACGGCTTTTAATTATTAGACTTTCCGTCCCTCCGTCTCGTCACACTCTCACTTTCACTCTTTGCGCGGCTCGCACGCTAAAATACAATATAATATAATAACGTATTATATATACAAAAATCTTCCGCTTATCCGAAAACCTGTCACGACGATAAACTTTTCCGATGTTTCTGCAGTACAACAGCAAATGCTGTCGGTCGCTGTTCGAAACACACGCCCCCGCCACCAGTTCCGTACCGAAATCGCCGCCTTTCGAGGAGCACGGGTCTCACCCTCCCTCTCTGCGATCCAATTACTATACTTGAAACTCGTATAAGTCACACCTTTTGTAAAACAATAAGGCGCAAAGTCATACGATCGTGATTGATAAACAAACTGCTCGAATATATGAAAACAAAAATATTTTCACTCGCATAAAAAAATCTCGAAAAATTGATACAAGGGACGCATGTACTTGCGTTGTTCCTACTGGGGAAAAAAAAGTTAGCTTTATGCCAATGTTTTAGATTCTGAGCAAAGCGAAGAGATAATTGGTTATACTAGGTGTGTTATCATTTTAGATCCTGAGTGAAACGAGGAATGCATTGGTTTTACAATGACGTTTATTTTTTTTTTATGTGAACACTTTTTCTACCAGAAAGCATACTCCGATTTTTTTTAAGTGTAACACCTTTTCTGAAAAGAAATTTTCTCTGAGTGGTATTTTAAAGACGTCATTTTTTTGAAATTCTCATTAATATTCGAGATAATGAGGAAAACCTCGGTCTTTAGATTAAAAAAGGTTGAAAGATTAAAAATAAGGTTGTCATTGACAATCGTTTTTATTTATTTTTTGTTGTTTTAATATTTTTCAAACAACCATTGTTGTCATGGAAACACACATTGTTTTAGTCATTTTATCATAATATGGCATAATTACAAATATATTGTATTGTTGACAAAGCTACATTATCAACTGAACTCGGCTCAGAATTGTCTTTTCGTTAGCAATGGTTAACTGTTGCAAACAGACATACATTAAATTCCCGTGTGTAGCCTACTTTCCCAACTTCCCACCTATAACAGTGGCTGTACCCACGTACGAAGTATGCCCGTCCTTTTTTTTTTTTTATTGTTATTATTATGTTTTTATGAACAACTTTTCTACCAGAGAACTTGCTTCAGTCAAAAACATTATAGGAACTTCCTTGTCGAATTTTAGATTTTATTGGTGCACTGTTGAGGTAATTTTTTATTATTCTTGTAGTTTTCTCAACAAACGAAAAAAACTGCCAATGTTTTGTATTATATTTATTGTTTAAAAAGACGGAAAAAAATACGACTAATAATTTTCTACTCAAAACTGTTTTTGTTAGCAACGGTTTTCTTGTTTCATACAAAGTACACAAATTTAATTATTTTATAAACACATAATATTTGCTTCCCAATACAGTGACACATCCAACTCTATCTAACTTAAACATCAGTATACACCCTATGGTACTTTCCCAATCTCCAACATACAGTGAGCATCATGCTCGTTTTTTTCATCTCATGATAATAATTCACATAGCAAAATTACATTTTAAAAACATTTGCAAAACATATTTTGAACTCAACCATCTCACTTACCCGTCCACCCTATGCCACAAAGAAGTTCAGCTCATTACAGATTCGAGCGACATTTTCAATATCTAGTCGTAAAGTTCCACCCTTTTTAAAGTATGAACTTATCCTGTACACCACCCATACACCGACACCATCCTTTCACTTTTAATTCCCGTCCCTAAAAAA